TTTTCAATGCAGGATTCGCAAAATGACCACTTCTGTGAGAAATGACCGCTTTTGACTTCGGTTTGGCCAAAACGAGAATCCATTTTGACACCTGTCAGCGGTAAAAGAAGTCATCCTGTACATGGAACCAAGCGTGCGAAAGGTACCATACACCATGAACCATGGTACGATGCAAAATGCAACCAGCACCGCACTGCATCCTCGTTACCAAAAAAATAGCGGAGCATGGAGACCGACAAAGTATCCCTTTGAGATCCATTTGCAGGCCTAGCAATTAAATCTACCGTTATCTTGTTGGACATCTCAGTGGAAGTACTTTCGGGACCATCACATACCACTGCAACATCTATCTTCACTCCAGGACCAAACCTCAGCCCCACCAGCTGTCACAACCAATTCCCACACTGAACCAGCCATCTCTGGATTCAATCCAGGTCCCACGCACCAGAATTTAGTACGATTAGTCCCAGGGGCCCAGTAGCGGAAGCATCCGCAGGTCCCACCCACTCTTATTGAGGAGGACCATTCGAAGGTAGCGGTATACCAACTTATCGCGCCACGACCCATTCGTTGGGTCTCCTTCTTCCCACGCTTGTCAATTCGGGGTGAGTAACTGGTACCAGACCCAAGTAGCACTTGCATTCCTACAGACAGCAGCTAGCTGGGAAACCGTGTACAGAAAACGTCAAACTACCAGCCAAATCCGGGAGGACTTCGATCTGCCGTGCTTTTAAAAAAATGGAGTTTTTTAGCTACTAGTCTACCTGGTACCAGGTACTACTACAGTCATACATGCATAGCTAGCCAGATTGAATGCACTGTTCGGTGAGTGTTCAAAGAGTTCAAAGGAAGCGAAGCACGCTTCCAACCCGCCGGGATGTGCCGATTTGCACTGAAAAAGTGACCTACCCACGGCCGAATCGAGAAGCAGTGCATGCCAACTTTGTGTGACCAATTTACTTAGACACGTGCAACAATAATTACACTGTAAAGCACATAATTGGTTACAAAGAAGCACGTGTTGTCAAGCTTGAGAAGTGCCTTTCAGCCTTGACGTGTGCATCTGCCACTGCCGTTGTTGCTGCTCTCTAACGGTGATACTAGCTAGCTAGTAGTCGTAATGTTGAAGCAGCTGTGAAGCAAATCAAAATCCAAAAGGAGCTTTGATGGCAGACAGGTTCTCTCGACCATACCGGTACGCCTTTTCTCGACCCTACTCCTCTTGCACTAGCTAGCTATTAGCTGGAAGCAGACAGTACCTTTATCCTGCTAGTACCTTTCCGGCTCCGTTCTCGTCCAGCATCCATCCTGAATCCTGATACCCCCAATCATTTGGGCAGGTATCCCACCAACAAACCAACCTTGAGCTGAAGGTAGCTTCTGATCTTTTCACTTTTGTATTTAGACAAGAGAAATGGGAGGAGGAAACGAAGATGAAGGCGGCTTTAGTGGGTATATGATCAAGACAGTGGATCTTGGACCGATCCTGTTCTGTGTATGCCTGTTGGCTCTGTTTGTGGCCTATGGGATAGTCTTGCCCCTTCTGGTCTTTCTGGGCGAACGACGAGACGCCCTCCAACATGCTCATGAGACTACCGAATTCTTTAGCGAAGATTCGTCCGAGGATCTACCACGACGAAAGAAACACGACGATGATAATGACAGCAAGAAGAGCCCGAATCAACAGCAACGGGTACTGCACGGCAACCAGAATGCAGACGAAGAAGCCTCGGTGGTTTCGAGGAGTTCGCAACAATCCACTTCCACTCATAGCAGTGCCCTGGGGAGCGCCGTCGCTGCCATTTTGGACCACCCACCCCATTACAAATCCAAAACGACACGAAGAAGACGTCGCAACAGAGAACGGGAAATCCTCAAGGCCCAATGGACTGCTGGAGAGTCTCAAGCCTTTCAAATGAAAACCATGGGTGCCAGCACCCCCGAAACCTTGGCACTCTTGCAAGCCATACACCCCGGGGGCATTACGGCGCCAGCAGTCGTACCCGAACGCGAAGAATGCACTGTTCCTTCGGTCAAAGATGCTACGCCAGCGGCACCGCCACCCAAAAAGTATGCCGAAGACTATCCCACCATGGGAGTCATGGACAAGATGGCCTTGATATCGTCCTATGATATTGAAACGAAGCGCATCGTTCGACTCTCTACGCCGTTTTGTGTACAGGCACTCATCACGGGTCTCACGGATATATTGACCGTGGCAGTGGTGGGAAAACTCGTGGGCACACGAGAAGTTTCGGCGTTTGTCGTTGTGACAATGTGGGTGGAACTCAGCAGTGAATTTGTTGGAGGTCTTCACGAAGCACTGGCCACTCTCTGTAGTCAAGCCATTGGAGCCCGTAACAAGGAGTTGGCGGGGAGTTATGTACAGATTGTTGGTACGTTTTCTTTCTTTGGCTCTTGTTGTTTTGTGTTCCAACCCGGACTCTCACGAATTGCTCGGATTCTTCAGTGATACTGTATACTCTTTTTTTCATTCCATTTGCCATCCTTTGGGTGTTCTACATGGATGCCGTACTTAGATGGCATGGCCTCGACGAAGAAACTGTCCGGATTGGAACGCAGTACACATACATCCTCGTCGTGGACCTCCTCATTGATGGACTTGGAGAAGCAATCCATGGACTATTGGATGTGGCCGGGTTTGAGAAATACAGCACCTTGATCGGGGCTACGGAAGAGATTCTATCTCTTGTGATCATTTTCATCTGGGCGCTGGTGGGAAACCCAGATTTGAACACTGTAGGATTGGTACGTTCGGTGCCGTCTCCCCGCAAAAACCTGCAACCTGGACCAAAATTCTCACAAGCATCAACGTCCATTTCCGTCTGCAGATCCAGTTTGGACTGGGTGTCGCCTTTTTGCTGTTGAATTGCGTCATCATTCGCTGGAGAGGTTGGTTCAAGGCCTTTTACAAAGGCATGTTTGGATCCGTGGGATTGTTGAATGGCAAAGCAGTCTGGCTGGTTTGCAAGACCGCATCGTCGCTTTCGTTTGGAATGCTTTTGACAGATGGAGAGTGGGAAATCCTGACCATTTGCGCACAGGTCCTCGGCCCAGCAGAGGTTGTTGCCTGGGGCATCCTTGGTAAGTAGGAGACGGGCGGACTAGATGCCACTTGGCTCAACCTGCAGTCGCAATCATTCCTCACATTCGTCTGTTGGCTGCTTACAACACAAATTTTCAGGGACAATCTGGAAAGGAACTCATGAGCTGATTGATGCCATTGCTGATGCATCGGAAATACGATGTGCCTTTTTGCTCGGATCAGGTCAACCTGATCGAGCCAGAGTTTCGGCTTACAAGTCACTGCTGCTTGGGACGTTTGCAGCTTTGTATTTGAGTTCGCTCATTTACATGGCAGGTGAAGACCTGCCAATTTGGTTCACCAGTGACCCAGCCTTGCAGCACATTTTGGGACAACTCGTTCCAATCTTTGGCATTGCCAACTTTGTCATGGCCTTGGATACCATGAGCTGGACTCTTGTTGGGTCTCAAGGCAGGTACAGGCTTGCAACTGTTATAGTCTGCATAGCGAGTTGGTGTGTTACCATTCCATTAGCGCTGTTATTCGCATTGGCTTGGAATGTCAACTTGGAAGGCCAGATGACAGGGTTCACTCTCGGCTATCTGGCCATGGGTGTTGCTCATTCCTATGTCCTTTTGCGATCCAACTGGTATGCCTTATCGGAGCAAGTTATGGACGACCACGACGCCGAGAACACAGCAGCGAACACCGCGAACACCAACAACACACCAGCAGAAGTCTCCAGCAACAGCGACAAGCTGACGACATCTTCCGAGTCGAAACCTCAAGATCCCTCCCCCAGTATTTCTGTCATCTCAGTATCATCGCTTGGTAAAGGAATGGTTCCCATGGAAATCACAAGTTCGGATCATGAGGCACAGGATGATGTTCCAAAGAATGATTCGCAGAAGCAAGACTTTGACTTACTTCAGCAGGGTGAAGCCGACAAGAGCCCGTGAGCCAGACAAGGCGAATGCCATGACCCAGTCCCTACAATCCGCGACCTCTCGACAACCTCGCTTCGACTCTATGTGGCTGGAGGATGCCCCCTAATAAGACAACGACAAACCACATGACATCTGACTGACCATGGTACTGGTACCTATTCCAAGTGAGGCCTCTCTCACCAAGCGAGGCCACCAGAAGTGCCGCCTCAAGCCGTTTCAGACAAATCCCCAGTGGGCGGACGGAGGCCGCAAGCGTGGGAAATACATCGGCTTTGGGTTTTCCTCAAGCCCAAAATAAATGTTGAGTTTTCTCTCCAAACGTCCTTAGCTAGCTAGCTACGGTAGTAGGCTTGGATCCTTCACAAAAAGATGTTGCGAAGATCATTCTTCGCCTGAACCAATTCGTCCTTGGTAGCTTGCCTCTCTTCTTTCCTGCCACGTATCTTCCTTCTTCCACGAGCTGCTCATTATCCAAGTATAACAGCTGCTCTTTTGACTATACAGCTTAGTTATTTGATATTGGCATCCACCACCAGCAAAAAGTCATCAAATGCCGCCGTGGCATCTTTCAAGGAACTCAGGAGTTGTATTTGAGCCACTGCGGAAACTCCCATTTGTCCTCGTAATGCCTGTCCAATTTCAATGTCAATGGAATTCCACGACGCAATGAGCTCTTGCAGTTCATTTTCGAACTTGAGCACTCGTATTCGGTTGGTGCCAGATTCGGACTCTGGATACTGGGATTGGACTTGTTGTTGAATGGTAATGCCAGCTCCAGTAATTTTGGGAATCAAGTTCAAAACTTTGATACCCGCTTCTTGCAATCGTCCCTGTTGGATTACTTGACGAATATCATCCGCGGCGGTTCGTTGCGCTAGTAGCACTTCCTTGGCCGCCATGACGGATTTGGGTGGTCCTTCCACTGGCTTGACATAGTTGATATCAGGAGCATTTTTCTTGAGTGCTTCGGGTGTGTTCAACAGGGGAGAAGACAAAGCATCTTGAAGCGGAATTTTGTAGACGCCAATGCACTCGGGAGACACATCTCCGGGCAAACAGGCTGCACTGGCCGGATCGACTTTGACTGAGGCGGCGGTGGCTGTTGGAATAGCCACAACGCCCAACGCTTTCCAAAACACAGAAAAGGTCTCGCGTCTTTCAATGGAAGTATCCCGTCTTCCAATGGGATTGCTATTGATGTTGATCGAGAGCGATAATGTACCTTTGGGTAGCAATAGCTGCAGGATGAGGAGGGGTAGCAGGCGTCCCGAGATCATCATCTTTCTTTTGCTGTGGACACTGCCATCACCCATCGTATGAGGGGTACATGAACATCAGTACTATCACTGCCGAGGAAAGAAGGATCGTGCTGTTTTTGAGCTGTAAAAAGTATCTTCACTGAGAGCAAACGATCTTTCGCACGAAATGCAGCGCAAGCTGCCCACTCGAGGCAACTCCCGTTCCTCAACACGAACAACGACAACGGATAGATGCGTGCATTGGCCGTTGCAGCCATCAACTCAACCCTTTCCCTCCGCGATTTGCAATCTTTGCCGCTTGCTTGTTATTGTGAACAGATGACGAGTTTGTTTCCTTCTTACCCAAATACCACTTTGGTGGTTGTGAGAAAAAGGACTTGCTTCCAAAGAAGCACTTACTTGTTTGATTGATTGATAGCTGTACGTAGTTTCCAAAGGTGGAGGTCAATACCGGTATAGCTCACTCTATCAGGCGGCAAACCAGCGGGGACACTAAAGGTGGGACGTTCTGGCCATGGCAAACAAAGTTTACAACAACGGCGGCGATTACGTGTACGATTATTATGCCGCCGGCAACCAAAATGGCGATCACGACATTCACGATCATGATTTCCGAACAAGAGTCTACCCGCCATTCAACCAAGTTCAAGATGATGATCATTCCAACGATGATTTTCCCAGGGCAGTCCATGACACTGAAATGATTCGAAACTACTACACTCGCAGTGGTACCGCCCAAGCTCCATCCAGCAGCAGCGGCACGGAGAGTGCTAATGATGCCAACGATGCCAATGCTTACTTGTTCGTTACCACAGTGTTTGTGTGCATTTGTATCAACATTCTCCTGTGCTGCATGGTGTCTTGGACCCGACGAAACACGCGACGGCAGCATCGCAAAAGGCAAGCGCACCTCAACTCGGTCGAGGCAACGCTGCAAGGTTGGACTCTTATGTTTGCTCGATACGACAATGACGAAGATCGGGTTCGTTTGAACTATAATGAGGACCATGACAGCGAAACAGGTGGAGAAGCGGGGGAGGGCATCCCGCCAGAGAAGACACCCTCGTATGAGGTGGTACTGAAATTCCCTTTGCTTCGTCGAAGGGGAAGCACGAGAAAACAAAATATTATGAAACACTTGCAGGTCGTCTGCAACTCGGGAAACGAGCCAAATGCCAGCAACAATCATCTACGAAAGTCTGACGGAGTCAAAACGTCCCGAGAGCGAGACACTGTTTGGGATACGCTGAAGGAGATTGCACACTGGGACAAAGATATTGACGACACGGTCGCCCTTGGCCTTCCCTTTATAGCTCGGGCTGGCGTCACTGGATTGACAAACACGCTCACTTTGATCGTCATTGGAAAGCTAGTTGGAATTCAAGAACTGTCTGCGTACGTGGTGGTGAGATTCCTCATCGAGTTTGCGGGAAAGATGGTGGCAGGGATCCATGAATCACTCGCTACGTTGTGTGGTCCTGCTGTTGTCAACGAGGATCACGAGCTTGTTGGGCAATACGTTCAATTGTCAATTGTCTTCTGCTTTTCGTTGACCCTTCCAATCTTCATTTTCTGGTACTGCTGCATGAGTTCAGCCCTCCGTTGGTTCGGTTTGGATGATGAGACAGTCGCAACCGGCTTTGGTTTTGCCATGATATTGCTCATTGACATGGCATTTCGGGGGATCCAAGAGTCCCTGCATGCTTTACTAGACATCATTGGTTACCAAAGCTACAGTACAATAATCATTGTACTGGAGAAGAGTTGCACCTTTATGATAACTCTGGCGGTTGCCATGTTTTCAAAGCCGAGTCTCCAAGGGATTGGAATCATCCAGTTCTTCTTTGGGGCTACGTTCCTCGTGATCAATTGTTATATTATTTCCTTGAAAGATTATTTTGAGCCCTATCTCTCAGGGATGCTTGGGAAAGAGGCTTTGCGCGTGAGTGCAGCAATTGAACGAACAATACACCATGGCCGCAACAATTCTCACGTTTCAAACGTTTCCCATTCAACAGAACACCGAGGCTGCCAAGCTGCTGCTGAAGACAGGGTTCCATCTTTCGTTCGGGTACATGTTGATAGAAGGAGAGGTACGAAGTCCCCAGGTTTCGTTCAATCATTTTCAAACGACGCCGCTACAGTCTGACACACTCTGTCTCTGCACTTACTCTACTAGTGGGGAATCCTGGCAGTTTTTGCGCGGTACGTGACTCTGAAAACGTTCAAGTGCCTTGAGCATTCAGTGTACATTAATTTTGCTACCTGTCACACAGTTTCTTGGGTCCTGCGTCAGTTGTAGCATGGGGGATCTTAGGTAAGTGCATTTGCATTCGTTTCAGATGCAGCCTTGGTCACACGCCTCAGTTTGTCACGTTGCTTCCAGGGGAACTCTGGGATGGAATGGAACTGTTGACAGAAGCCCTAGGGGATGCTGCTGAGGTGCGCTGTTCGCATTTGTTAGGATCCCGCGAATCTGAGAGAGCCAAGATGCTATCCTACAGGACACTGTATGTTGGTTGTATGTTGGCTGGAAGTGTCAGCACATTTGTATTCTTTGCAGGGTCGTATATCCCCAAATGGATTACAAACGACGAAGTGTTACAGGCTATTCTAGCGAGCATAATGCCCTTCTTTGCATTGGGGAACCTGACATTGACGTTTGGTCAACTGTGCTGGGCAATGCTAGGCGCACAAGGAAGAAACTGGCTTGCCACAGCCACTGCTTTCTTTGGGACTGGTTTTGTTTGTATCCCTCTTGCCGCTTTCTTTAGTTTGGCAGTGCAATTTCCATTATCGGGGCAGACCTCAGCAATGGTGATAGGATATGTGACATCTGGGTCGCTGCAAGCATACTTGCTTTATACTTCCGATTGGGAAAGCATTTCCAACAGGGTCATGCATAGAACAGTTAACAACGTGGCGTAGGCCCAGATACGGGTACACTGCACGACCTCTGGCTATGATCCCACACAATCAGAGAAGAAACGAACTTGTTGCTTCCTGTTAGTTAGGTGGGAGCCCCGGGCACCAGCCTCATGCGAAAAGTCGGACTCGGAAGGCTGATCAGCTTCACTGCAGCAGGTTTTGCCAAGCCCAATAAAGCATCCAACTCAAAATGCGGCTCCTTTTTGGCCAACGGGACGGTGTCGGAACGACTGTTTTGGGGAGGTTTACAATCCACGCTTCCAGCCCACGAACCCGCATTTCATGTACCGGTACCGGTAGATCGCGGCACGTGCCCGGTACAGTCGTACCGGTAGATCGCGGCACGTGCCCCTTCCGCCACGCGGGTCTTAAATTAATTTGTCGAGATCAAAAATTTGTCTTCACTTTTCCTAAGCAATGACTAACAATGCCAAGCCACAGCTTCGTTCCACATAGTCGCTGCAATCAAGTTCGCCAGAATTGCAGGACTGTTTCTTCCATAGTACCGAGTCCACAGATTTTCCTCTTGGCTGCTCGGACGGCGTCTTTGCTGTATCCTCCAATCCTCCGCCCTGGCATTACACGCATACCCACGGCATTGATTCCGTCAAGTCGCTCGAAGCAAGTACCAACCCCAGATCAACGCAAGCAACATGGAAGGAGAAGAAGATGAAGGATTCGTCGGGTATGTGCCTTCGACGGTTGATCCAGGACCAATAGTCCTGATGGCCGTCTTGGCCATTGGTTTTTTCGTTCTCGTGACTTTGCCATTTGCAGTCATCTTGGGAGACAAATTCGAAGAACTGGAGGATAGAATCAACGACAATGTGACAGACAGCGAAGAGCCCGAGTCCAAGAATGAGATGATGGAAGAACAACCAATTCAGAACAGAGACCCTGACGAGTCCTCTGTTTCGTCCAAACAATCTGCGTATTCCGCGATATCTAGTGTGATGAAGGAGGTGCTCGACAATGCTGGAAGACCGAGGATAACGGGAGGTGGCTTGAGACACAAGCACCGACATCGAGCAAGAGTTGAAAGGAAGAGACAGAGCAAGAGTCAATACTCAACAGAGTTTGAGATAAATGCATTGTGGGATGATACCTCGCAGCAAGTGGTGAAGACAGTAGTGAACGCTAAGGGTGAATACGAGATTGCGATTGCCGAATCCGATGGAGGATCCTACTTGGATGCACCCCCAATAGGAAAAGAATACAGTGACTGTGGGCCCGCAATCAGCGACTGTGGAAAATCAGAGGTTGGCATTGATTGCAAAGTCGCTCTTGAAGGATACGAGAAACCACTCAATGAACGGAACGTATGCTTAAGTGCAAGTGGCTTCTTGGATGAACTCGCGAGAATAATGACGTGGGACATTGAAACGAGACGCATTTTCAAGCTTTCTATTCCATTCGTTACGCAGGCAATCTTCACGGGTGCCCTGGACGTTCTCACAGTCGGAGTGATTGGAAAGCTAGTGGGAACGCAAGAGGTTTCTGCCTGGGTTACAGTCAACTTACTCATTCAACTTACAACTAAATTCGTGGGTGGATTCCACGAAAGCTTGGCAACTTTGTGCAGTCAAGCGATTGGCAACAACAAGCCAAGACTTGCAGGCAAATATGTTCAGGTAAGTGCGAGAAAATGCGTGAGAACTCAGATGCAGTTATGAACGTATGTGGCCAACGCAATGCTCCGCCTGCAATCCCAGATTGCGGCAGTACTCTACCTTTTTACCTACATTCCATTCGCCATTATGTGGGTCTTTGTCCTAGATGATACGATCAGATGGTTTGGATTTGATGAGACGACAATTCGCATCGGGACAGACTATGGATACCTGATACTGATTGATTACTTCGTTGATGGGTTCTCAGAGTCCATACATGCATTGCTCGATGTGGCGGGCTTTGAGTCTTATAGCACGGCGATTGGGGCTGCTGAAGAACTGATAGCTTTCATCGTGATTCTTCTTTGGGCGCTCTTGGGCAATCCAACCCTGTTCATGATTGGCGTGGTTCAATTCGGAATGTAGGTCAATCTTGTCAACCCCCCCCCCCGAAAAGCGGAAATGCAACTCAATTGTTTCCATTTCGTGCTTTTGTTCTCCTTCTCCAACAGGGGAGGTCTATTTCTGTCCTTGAACATATTCATAATATGGTGGAAAGGATGGTTCAAGCCCTATCGAAGCGGTATGGTAGGAACATTTGCTCTGAAGGTACGTTAGCACACCAGGGTAGCATATTGCAGTCTGCTTCCGCCAGGGTCTCTCACCACTCATTGCAATACAACAGGACCGGAAAGCAGTGTGGCTGGTTTTCAGGACGGCCATGCCTTTGTCTTTTGGTTATCTGCTAACGGATGGAGAGGTAGGCAATGATCTACTAGAAGTGACGCGCGACAACCTTACTTTTGTCCACGAATGCTCAACATTCCCTGTTTTGTGTCATAGTGGGAGATCCTTACATTCTTTGCTAGGTATGTGCCATGCTGGATGAATATTGCGCCGTTTCCCCCCTCTCGTGAAGATGCTGTGCTCAATGAAATGATGGCTTTGGCCTCCACTTGCACAGTTATCTTGGCCCAGCGGAAGGTATGTTCCAAAGAAACCAGGCCCCAGAGGTCAAAAATGCACGTTGCACTGGCTCTGACTTTCCTTTCCACCGTTGTTTCCTTGCAGTTGTGGTATGTTCCACAAGTTGTACATATCAGAAGTTGCTGAGACGTGCGCCTTAGTCCACAACCTTACTCATGTTTGCTGTGTTGACCTAGGCATGGGGCATCTTCGGTATGTACAGCAAGTTGACCAGTGGAGAATTTGCCTACAGCATCGAGTCCCCAACTCACTTTGATACTTGTCTCATCCATGAACGCACATTGTAGGAACAATCTGGGATTCCGTTACTCTTCTTGTTGACAGCTTGGCAGATGCATCCGAAATTCGATGTGCCTTCTTGCTTGGGTCAGGTCAACCTGATCGTGCCAGACTTTCAGGTGAGAAAACTCTTCATTGTCCCATTGAGTCAATCAGGATAGATTTGCCGTGAGAACAAATCTTCAATCAGTCATGATCTTCCCATTCATTCATCCATTCTCTCTCTTTCTCTCTCTGTCTTCTCCAAAACCTACTCGATTCTCCTGATTCTTCACTCACTTTTGGGATTCAGCATACAAATCTATAACAATCTGCATATTTGCTGGTCTTTTCCTCACCTCTGGCCTCTTCATATGCGGTGAGGACCTCCCCAGGTGGATGACCAATGATCCTACTTTGCAACATCTCTTGCGAGACTTGCTACCTATGTTTGGGTTAGGAAACCTAGCAATGACAGTGGGTACCATGTCCTGGACACTTTTGGGCTCTCAGGGCAGATACAGGCTTGCAACAGTTGTGGTCTTGGTAGTGAGTTGGCTCGTCACCCTGCCTCTGGCTGCGGTGTTCAGCATTCACTTGAAACTAAACTTGGAGGCACAAACTGCCACGGTGGTCATCGGATACATGTTGTCCGCAGCAATCCATAGCTACTACCTCTTCAGAAGCGATTGGGTAGCTCTTTCGGAGAGTGTAATGGATGACAACGGTTCTCGAGCCAGCGACGATGAGGCGATGGACGGTGAAACCAATGAAGAAGGGGCTAGCGATGCCGGTCGAAATCGCGAATCAAACAATGAAAGCGTAGAGGTTCTTCCAGACAGAGGCATTCTCCTGGGACCACTTCACGGTAGAGGAGATTCATTTTTTACCCAGCAGCAAGGCACAACCATCAAGGGAGAGTGGAAGGATTCTAGCAGCGCACAAGACATTGAGGTGGAACTAGAACTTCAAGCAAGTTGATCCCTGTTTACATGGAACCTGAGAGCAATAAAATGCAAGAATTTTGCGCTAGTACCCGATCTCGGCGGCGGAGAGCTCACAGCTAGGTTTGTCCTCGGTGTCCATATTATGAGGTTGGCATTTTGAAAGGCAGTTTCACAGGATGCGGCGGAACGATGAATGGACAAAAACTAGCAGGACAGTTTGCAGATACTAGTAAGCATGCAGCTTCAGAGGCATGTTGCGAGGGACTTTAGTAGGCGCGGATGGATGTGGCTGATCATAGCATGATGACATTGTTGTAATGTTGTGATAGGCAACCCAAACGCCGCAACTAGCTAGTAGCTAGAGAATCTACAGTTGGTTGATTGCTTGGTCCACATTATGCTTACCGCAGAGGATGCTAGCTCTCTAGCTAGCAGGTAGTAGGATGATGCAGGCGAAAGGTTTGAGGGCAATGGGACCACCTCGACCGCAACACGTAAACCACATCAGAACTGATGGCATAATATCTGTTCCCTAATCTCACTAAAATTCTTATTGCAACGAATCAGCCTTCTGATGTCTTAAAACATGAAAGCTTCAACCACTTACTTGCATACAGGGGTTTTGCTGACTGACACCACAGCTCACCACACTACCGTACGCACCCTTCAATCTTCATGTCAAAAAGCAATTCCGGTTGCTTTTTCCTATTGGCGTGGCTTCATGCGTGTTCGGCTGTACCGTAGGTACCCGTACCGGTGTGCACAGAGCTTGCCGTTTATCTGCCCCAGCCAATAGCATCCAGCCCTGTACGCACAGTGTCTGTTTTCAGCAAAGCCCAGCCACTAACTGCAAGTTTGGCAAGGGCTAATTCATGCTCAGCCTCCCACACCCCGAAGCTCCAGCCTGCCAGCTACAGTACTACACTGTATTGTCGCTGTCTCCCTACTGGCACATTTACTCCAGCTCTTTCACTTGGAGGATGGAGGACCTCATGATGTCACACCTACCCGGAAGACGTCAGCCCAAATAGTGAATTCATCAGCCTTTTCATTGGTTTGCCAAAGAATTTGTGTTGTCAACTTTTGTCCTTCATCTCCCACTTCCCCTCCCACGGTTGGTTCAAGATGCGATCGAATTGATTCTCACGACTTCTCGTTACACCGGCCAGCCACCAACTGATTACAATAAAATCGGAACATCTCTTGTAACACTCTTGTGCTCTTGCAACTGCTCCTTGCTCCCTTGCCTCATTGGCCAAGCTTGATGGCTTGTGCGTACTGTACCGGTTGGGAGACCTAAGATTGACACGAATGGCGGATCAGAATCCTTTTGTGCCTCCTGATTCAAGTTGTTGGCGGAAACTGCATTTGAACCAGCAGAGCGGCATCGGCGCCCAGTCTGTTGCGAAAGTCGAAGGAAAGGCGCTACCTGCGATTATTCGTTGTCATAGACCTGTCCCGTATGCACAGGAGCTACTGTACATGGTAGCTGACATGGCTGCACACTGTTGTATCCGCAGCCTGGATCCTTACATCAGCTCCAATAAGTGTTCAGTTTCGTAGATCCCTCAAGGGAGTGAGTCATCTTCATGCGATTTCAGCAAAGAGTGACTGCTGATTCAGCTGGATTTGCGCATGACCTTTGGTTGGATCCGAACTCTATAGCTCGACTTTTTCATCTAAGTGACTCACAGTGCCGGGCTACCTCATCTAATTGCTAAGTTTTCTTATGAAACTTGGCCTTGCGCCTGCAGGGAAAAACTTCTTTGCATTAGTTGATGAGGAGCAGGCCAGGAGTAAGGGTTTCTCTTGAAGATTTCAGTATTTCTAGGTACTCTTGATTGTAACGACAACAGTAGAGGGTCTTGAAGGTCTTGACTGCAATGAATGGATTCCCTTGTCATCTTGGAGCTTTTCCCTGAGAGCTATGCAAAGGGTGGGAATTAGTGATGTCCTCCTGTTGATTCGTCCTTCGGTTCCAACCAACACAACATGATGTAAGAGACAAATTGAAATGCCGGAATCGGTACACTGAACGCAGGGAGGGATGGCAGGGGGTAGGCTGACGTTTTGACTCTTGACACTTTTTTTGACACTTTTTCACCTATTTTCATTGGATCCGAAGCATTTATGATTGCGTACGTGCCCCAAAAGAATTCCATCTTGACACCTTGAGCAATCAACCCAAAACGAGAAAACAAGTCAAATCGAATGCTTTCCCAATGTGAAGCATTAGCACTCTCTCTGGCTGTTTGGCACCACACGTATACCCAAAGCCATCACCTACCGGTATCAGCTCCATAAACAATTCTTAAAGTCGAGCTGATCACTACTCACTGTCCAGTACACAAGTTCAATGTGATTAGGCATCGGTGGAATGGAATCGGCCATCAGACCATAAAATCGCTTTCTCACTCATTCGCATTGTAATAATCTAGCTCCCGCGCTCCACGCACAACCCATCACCATCATGTCTTGTAATACTTCTACCGACAACGGGGAACTATCCTCTCTGCATTATCCTCGCACTGGAAAGAGGGGTGTTCCACAGCAGTTCCCGCGTCGTCTCTATGAGATGCTGCAAAGCGAAAGCAAGCTCATCGAGGCCTCGGCGGATCATCCAAAGATCATCTTCTGGTCTGAGTCAGGCAAAGCATTCCGCATTGCGGATGTAGCCGAGTTCAGCGCAACCATCCTACCCAAGTACTTTAGGACCAAGAAGTTCAGCTCCTTTCAGAGAAACCTCAATCTGGTAAGTTCGTCTGTTGTAAGGTACCAATGGCAGCCACCGAAGATACCCATCACAAAAGGATTCGATTCGCTCACATTTCACTTCTGGTTTTCTATCCTTCAGTATGGTTTTGCTAAGGTTCGCCGTGGCCCCGAGACAGACATGTACGCCCATCCCAACTTTGTTAGGGATCAAGCGGAGTCGCTGTCCATGCTCAGGAAGCTCACTTCAAACACCAACCGAAGACGCAGTACTGCTGCCAAGCAGCCCAAGACCACCAGAGTGTCCCGTTCCGTCTCTCCCTCTCCGACGCTGATGTTGGCAAACGTCCAGTACCTCCAAGCACCTCCGCTTCCACACATTGCCATCCCGACCGGTGCGATGGTCAAGTCGACTCCTACCTATGCCGCACCCAAGCCCACGTGTGGTTATGCCTCTCCCAGGCACTCCTCAGTGTGGGCACCCATCCACAAGGTCCCTCCCTCTCCCGATTCATCGGCAAATGGCTCCACTGCTGCTCCCGTGGAAGCAGCTCCCGAGACACCTGTCCTCAATCCAAGTCCTGTTGGCCGTGGCCGTCTTGACCTCTTGGCCCTAGCCATGGAGCAAGCCACAGCTATGCAGTGAGCACTCACTTTACCAAGTGTCTGCGAAGGACATCCCACCAGGTTCTGTTGTTCTTCCTTTCCTTTCTGTTGCACATGTGTACAATAGCAACCGCTACTCTTCTGCAAAAATATACGCTAGCAGCAAACGATTCAGGACCCGTTTTGTATGGCAGCTGCGCCAAGTTAAGTCAACTCTTATGAATAAGTAATAAGCTACATAATGTATTGCTACTCCCTTCTGCATTTGGTAGTGGCCGCACAAGCCACCCCTGCTTGCTACCTAGTCACAGAGTTGCGACAAGGTGGGAACGGCACGGTTGTCTTCAGCCTTCCCATCCTGAAAGACCACTCGAGAAAGAGAGCGTGGCTTCACACTCTCTTTGCAGGTCGGGCAAGTCTCTGAACGCTGCAGCCACTGAAGCCAACAATCTTTGCAGGCCATGTGACCGCAATCACTGAGCATGGGTGTTTGAGCTGTTTGGATGCAAACCACACAATGCACATTGGACGGCACATTGCTCTTCAGCGACTTGACCAGGTCTCCCGTCGTCTTTTTTACGAAAGGAGAGGCCTCGGCTTGCCGCAGCATGTGGCTAACGGAATCTGAGGAGCTGGTCGTCTTTTTGCTTCGCGGTAGTGGCTTGCCCACTTTCGAGAGTTCGCTCGTTCTCTTGTAGGCAGGAGCGGGTCGATTTGGCTTCGCCTGGTTGGGAACTTGCTGAGTTTTCTTCGCCGCCTTTTCATCCGACGACTTGGTCAGACTTCTGGTGTAAGAGGAGAGGGACTTGGCCTTCTTTGCGTACGGATTCACTTTTCCATGGCCTCGGCTCGACGAGCTGCGCGAAAGGCTGCCTTCTTTCGCATAAGGATTGGCTTTCTTGCTCGTGGGATGTTCCGCGCTGGACTGACTGCTCCCTTTGATTCCAGGAACTACTGCACTCGACCTGCCCTGTGTGGAGGACTGGGGCTTCGTCGACGCGTTGACCTTATCGGTACGAGGAGCGTCGGAGTTCAGCTTCTTGGTGACGACGAGCTTCGGTTCTCTTGACGGCGAATTTGTTGGCAGGGAATGCGAACCTTGGCTGCTGTGCTTCGGCGCTAACTGCGAACTCAGCTTGCGATCTTTCGCGGTCGGAACACCTGCCATCTGTTCGCTCTTGATAACAGGCATGTTAGGTTCGTCTCTGCTGCTAGTAGAGAAGGCTAGTGGTTGAAGAGCTCCTTGGAATTGCATTGGTCTTTGGAACCTTCGGTTGTCGATGGATTCCTCTCCCTTCATCTTGGCCTCGCTTGTTTTAATACGTTGGATATTTCGTGATGCGTTCATTTCTGAAACTATTGCTTGAGCACCAGTGTTGAAACGCTCTGGAACCAGCTTTGCAAATGCAGAAGCAAGATCTGATGATACTGTGTCGTTCTTGTCTTTCAAGTGGGTCATCACCTTTTCGGCTTCCTTGAGGAACATCGCCTTGTCGGTCAGCACCTGACCACACCAGAGAATGTGTAAGAACCGACGGAACTCAGCAATGGCGGTGGTGTATTGCTCGGGCGGCAAATTCTCCTTGCATAGTTGCCCTAGAGTTGACTTTTTGAACAGTCCTTTCATAGCAAGCAGTTCGACCTCCATACGCCGAGCTGCTGGAAGTACCTGGAAGAAGAGGAACAACATGGTTTCCCCATGGTCTTTCTCGTGCTGCCCAAAAAAATGCTCGCGCTGACAACATAACTTGACAACTTCTCTTGCTGCCAACAAGTAGCTCTTCCGATCGTCTTTGTCCCCATGCTGCTTCATTGCAACGAGCGACTTGCGAATTGTTTTGAACTCCGCCGCGGTAAACCACTTTTGCGCCTTCTTGAAGAATTGGGCGGCAGCATTTTTCGAGTCTCGATTTTCCGTTGGTGCTGTTGTTGTTGGACGATTCGTTGTTGACGTAGATGCATTTGTACCGCTGCTCTTGGCGACCTTTGGCTTTTGGTCAGATTTGGTTGCAGTAGGTCTTGATGGTGCCTTTGAGGCAGCAAAGAAGGCACCAGACTGGGTCTTTACCGTATCACTGCTCCGCTTGAAGCTCCCATCAAAGACGGGCTCTTTTTTCTGAACCACTGCATCTAGATCCACTCTGGCCACCACTTTCCCGGGTGAAATATAGGTTACGGGGTCCTCCTCCTTGTCTCCCTCTTCTGGCACCTTCGTATCGGGATGAGGTCCAGCACTCTTCAAATTTGCCTTTACCTGGTTCAAGTCGCGGTTGAGATTTTGCACAAAAGCAACCTTGGTGAAGGTTTCATCTGCATTCTGCGTTTGTGATTTTTGCTTTTGCCTCTTGGAGTAGGCTTCCTCTTCTTCTTCCTCGTATTCGAGCGCGATCTTTTTGGATGCATCCTCTCGTTCCTTGGCAGTCGCAGCTGCTGTCCGATAAAACTTGACCAATTCCCCAATGGCAGTCCCTACCCCCTGATCAGGTCGCACGTGCGGACGAACCCACTTGCTCAATCCCTGCTGATTGCCCGGCTGTGCATATCGAGAATCCAACAGTAGCACTGATCCATAATCAGTCCGGTTTCGAATGACACGACCGATTGCCTGATTGACAGCGCGGTGAGCTTGCTGGCTGTACCATTCATGGCCTGACAACACGTTTGTTTTGCCAGTCGCCGTCATCTTTGACTTCTTCTCACTTCCATTGCTAATGTCTGTTGAAGAGCCACCGAAGCCACCTGCTTCAGCAGACTTCATGTTTTTGGCTGCTCGAGTGCTGTCCAGGTATTCCCGCTTGAGCTTGACCTTGGGGTCAAACGCCGGCGGAAAGGGCAATCCCGTGATGACAACGGCACGACTTTGTTTTCCCGCAAAGTCAATCCCTTCGCTGATCTTTCCTCGGCAAATCCCCATCAAGCACACGCCCTTCGACTTTGGCATGTTGAGGTACTTGTGGAATTCCGCCATGGCATCAGGCAAGTCAGCAGTAGATCGTGGCTCTACAACGACAGACTTGGCACCAATCAATCGCTTCCACGGTGTATTGGGATTGGCAGCTCCTCCCCCGAAAGAGTTTCCGTAGATGGATGGCGCCGTGAATGGAAATGAGTACTGTTGACGGCTGGAAGAGTTTCTCCCCTTTTTGTTCCGAGCTGCAAAGAAGCTTGCAGTCGCCTTGCTGCCTCCTTTCTTACTGTTATTGTTGAAGACTGCGGGGCAGCCCCATCGTTCCAAACAAGTTTCCATGACCGAGTAGCTCGGGAAAAAGATGAGCATTCCATCTGGAATCACCTTGGCAAGGGAGACAAGCGTGTTGCCTAATTCCGAGTAGTACTCAGCATCTTTTCTCCGTTGGAATGATGATGTCAGCTCTTTGCCACTGACTCCCTTCCCAATGACTCGGACATGAATTTGTTCATCCGCAATGATATGTGGATTTTCCAGTGTATGCGGAAAGTGCAGCCCCAACTCCATGCTGTAACTTGGCAGCGGAGATAGGGTACCGGAGGTAACCAAGATGGATCGAATATCCAAGCCCTCAAGTTCCTGCATTGCCAGCGATGGCGCGAAGCACCAGTAGGACACTGTACGCCCGTTGGCGTTTGTATTGTTGTTGCCTCGTCCTTGCTGTTGCTTTTGTTGTTGCTGCGCGCCCTTGGGTGTCACATGGACTCGATAGGACTTGGCCTTGGCAAAACACAACGCCTCGGATGATTCTCCAAAGACTCGTTTGACGCATTGGATAAACATTTCCAATTTGGGAGCCCCCTTGCTATTGCTGCCACCACCACCACCACTCCGCACATCCATCAAGAATTGACAGACTCTTCGGACCTCATCCACAAACAGTTTGTAATTGGCATAGTTGATGCTGATCCCGTCAGTGAATATTTTCATCATGAGTTCTCCACTGTGGGCTCCAGAATAGGGCAAGTTGAGAATGTGATTTTCCAGAGCCAGGAAGAGCGACTTTAGACGCTCTACATTCACCCGCTTGACTGCAGAACTGTCTTCCCCATCCTCCCCCATCATGTCGATGAAACGTAGTGCTCGCTCCAATTCCCCAATGCACATGGCAATGTCCGTATTGCTAAGATCAAAGGATGCGGATTCCGTGGCAAATGATTCTAAATTGTGGGCTTCATCAAAAATGACCACGGCATCCTTCCAGGCAATGTCCTGCAGCGTGGTCTCTCGGGCATCCTTGTCAAAAAGATAATTGTAGGGCATCAGCACCAATTCAGCGTCTGCCACCAGTGACCGTGTGTAATAAAAAGGGCAGACTTTGTGTGTTTTCCCCATTAACACAAGATCTTCCATATCCAGTACCGGTTGCCTGCCTGCTTCATTTTCTTGACTAGGAGCTGCAAACCCTTCCAGTTGATTGCGGTAGCGACATTTTCGCTCCTTGGCCAATGCATTGCAGTCATGGTTAATATCAAAGGCGCTAGTGGTAGAACTCTTTTTTACCTTGGGGTGCACGCACATTTGTTCTCGTGACCCCAATACGGCGTGTTTGGGTCTGTACATTGTATTTCGTAGTTCTCTGACGACTTGGGAAAGCTGCGAATGCGTGCGAGAGGCATAGATAATGGTGGGGACACGAGTGGGCGCTTTTTGCAAGGTAGCTTTTTCCAACGCAGCAACTGCATCGGTGTCGTCGTCTTCAGGATCAACCTTCATTGGATCGGGGGTGTCGGGTTCAGTTTTGGGGTTATTATCGGCTCCTCCTGCTGGATCTTGAGAGCCACCGGAAACAGTTTCACTTTTTCTTGCAACAGCCTTGGCAGCTGCCTGCTCTTGTACCCGCTTGGCTTGTCCTCTCTGCCAGGCCAAAGTAGCACAGAGCAAACAGAGGGTTTTGCCCGTTCCTGTGGGACTTTCCAAAAGCGCATTCTGACCCTTTATCAGCGCATCCAGCACTTTGCCCATGTAGTCTTCTTGACATTTGTATGGCTTGAAGGGAAAATTGATAGTGACGCCTCGAAGCTCGACAGAGGTTGGAGAAGTCTCACCGCCTTTTCTTTTCCGGCTTGACGCTACAGCGCGAGACTGATGGCTCTTGGCTGCTCCTACTGCCTTCATGGTGATTGCAGTTGGCTAACTACTGTAATGCAGCTAGATTGTGGATGCATGGATGCATGGGTGGTTCATACATGTAGCAAAAGGCCAATGCTCTCAATTGTTTCGTGGAGAAGGCGCCAAGAATTCGAGCCGACCAAGAGCACACAACGGAGATTTCAAGCTAGCTAAGCTAATACAAGCAATAAACTGGTAAAGCTGTCAAAACGGTTCCGGTTGATTCGAAGAGATGGAACCCAGACAAGACCGAGTTGGTACAAGGTTCAGTGCTTGATCCATTTTTGGTTCCTTCTTGTTGAACATCACTACAGCTCCTTTTCTGGATAAGAAGGTTGCCAATGAGTATGGATCAGGTTGCTGCAGAGAATGAAAATCCTCGGGAACCAGCCAAAAGCCAGGCTGCAAGGGATCATCGATCCTCCAGCGATCTGATCGCTCAACAGGCAGTCCAACGGTACTTTCGCGAATCCCAAACGTCCCCGTCACCGCCTGCAATATTCTCAGATTCAGTCCTACACGTTCTTCTTTGTTCCATGGTTGAGCTCAATGTACCGCTGAGACGAAATTGTCCCGACCCCCTTCTGTTCCAATCCAAAGTTTGGCACGTTCGTATGCTTGGTTGCGACTGCAACAGGACCCGTTTGTGTTCTGATCAGCCACTAGCCAGCTCCTCCATTCAATGCGTTTGGGAAAGCATCTATGGTGCGGGTATCAAGTAACTTTTGGAAGTTTTACATGTAATTGGCGGCTTCGAAGCTTTGGTGGCGTTGTGGCCTTGGGGGACTCCTCAGCGAAGCGAATAGAAAATCGAAAACACGAGTGATAAACGAATGCCCCTTTTACCAATAAAGGGAACTGTGCTAATTCATCTTAGGTGATCTTCTGGAGACCAGTGACCAGATCATGCCTCGACAGAGAAGGGTCCTTCTAAAAGCGAATTTCTTTAAGTCACTTCGAGATTGGATGAATGTGCTTTTTGTTCCAACGTGATCTTCTCACTTCTCACCACTCCGACAGATGCTCCAAATAAGCAAACGGCAAATGCCAGTCTTATTGAGTCATTATTACTGTGTTGAGTCGAATCGCAACAGGTTGTCGATCTTTGGTGAATCAATCCCAAAACAACATTGTAGCTGGCTACAAGCTACATGTAGACTAGTAGCACTACTAGTACTGCAGATAGCAATTGGATTTGATAAAGTGACAAAAGACGAAAACGAATCTTCCAATGTCTTGCTTTCCCATTGCAACCGGTTGAGCTGATGTTGCCTCTTCCCTTCGAAGCGGAGAACTTTGCACAAGTTGGTTGACCCAGCGAAAACCCCGACCCAGAAACCGTTGCCCCTCTTTTTGATAGTTTAGGGGGCTACTAATTCGTCGGGGGAGCTCGGAAAGCGGTGGAAGGCAGTGGAGGGTTTAAAGAAAAGGTTAGGTCCAGGCGTAAGATCTGGGATGGGTTCATCGTCCTTTGTTCCGCAGCTATTGGTTTGATTGTCATTGAGTAATGGTACAAGTTCTATTGCAACATGATTCGATTCAAGGAATGCATTGCTCCTTTGCATCAGTTTCGTCCTTCGGTTGCTTCACGGAAAGAAAAACGGATCAAGGTTGAAAGCAGAGCCTATCTGAAGCATCCAAGTTTAAGGTCTGTGGGTATTACTGGCTTGTACGATGGTTCATCCAGTCGATCCGGCAGGTATGAATGGTGTGGTACAAAAAGCAGCTTCGTTGAATGAGGAGGACTCGTAAATCCAATGCTTTTGAGGCGAAAAGGCCAAGCAAGTTCCGTCCTCGGTATTGGCTGCTCAGAGTGTCCAAATCCAACCAATCATCCATCCAAGGGAATAGCTCAATCCTGGGCGTGAAACTAATAACTGAACTTCTCAGTGCTCACCTTATTTTGGAGGTAGGAGGAAATTCAAAATTCAATGCCAACGCTTTCACTTTGCTAAGTCTTATTGGTTGATTGCAGTTAGTTCAGCTCATAACATTGCTACCGGTACTGGACGGTGGTCCTACATGCACATTGTACATGTACATGTATTCTGTGAAGACTTTGTTAAAGCAACCCAAGGAGGAGGGGAATCGAATCCCCTTTGTCAAAAAATTTGGGGGTTTCACCACTGAACGTTCCTCCTCTGGACGCTAAGGTAAATGGAACTCACGACTTCGCTTTCACTGCACCAGAAACGAACATTCTATTGTTTTACTGGGACTGAAAGCACCAAGGAAGTTCACCGTTCACCGAATGTATGTGCTGTGGTGACTCGTTGCTGCCGCCACTCAGCAGGCAGGACACGGACTTCTGTTCAAGTATCTACCAGTATGTACCAGTATACTCCGTGCTCCGTGCCACCTCAAAAAGCATTCCGGTCATCTGATGACGATGGCTGGGTACGAATGAAATTGACGGCCTAACAATTTCGTCGACGTCTCACAATTTCAACTCCGATAGAACAACGCATAAATTTCAAAACTAGCGAAACAAAAAGCAACAGCCAATCGCTCTCATTATAAAACACAAAACATAAACTCAAAATGGTTCAACGTCAAGCACTTTCAAAACTCATGGGTCAATCGATCCGCTCCAAGCTCCAACAGATAGTCTTTGGAAGCAAAGCAGTGGCAAAACCAGCTGCTGCATCAAGGGCTACCAGTGTCTTCCAATCAACCGCCGTCCTGAACCAATCGCCAGCATCATACATGAAGGTCAGCTTCCCAAGGAAGCCAATACAATACAACTTCTAAGTGCCTTGACTGGGGATAATAGAAGGAAACGAGGAAGAACGGTACACGGCAGAGCGGTGGACAAGATAATGGAAGGACGGATGGTGAATAACGATTAACACCCCAAGTTCAGCATCATTGGCGAACAATCCTGATCTTGAAGAGCTCAACGATAACGAAAAGAATTCATTTGGTTCACATAGAATGATCAGGGGGTCGCATAGACGAAAGAGCTTAAACAAAAGGAAAGCCTAAATAAACAATTTTCTTGCATAATCTTTTTCTTCAGCCGAGTAGCATCTCACTCCAATCCGAGGCAACGCCCCGAAAATTAGGTGTTCGGACTTGCCCTATTGTTGCACATCATCAGTGGCCCGAAAGGTTTCTCCTGCTGAGGATTGCGTCACTACAGGATGTATGAATCAATCAGTTGTCACTGTCCAGCTATATTTCTCAATGGGGCCTGCTTACCGGATCTGCGTGTTTCTTGTGCTTGACCGCTGATTGTTGTCGCAACGATTCTTGTTGTCTCACGGCATTTATGTTGTGCATCATCAAGCCATTCTGCGGTGGCCGTACTGTGTTTTGCATTGCTTTGCCGAGTCGACGCTACAACAGCAGTGAAATTGGCAAGTGCAAAACACATGCAGTTGCAGAGGCTTGAGATGCAAGACTCCAACTAGCCATAGAAAAGATCAACACGGGTGGGTCATTGGCAAAGCTCTGTGGCGGCGCGTGAGAATCGAATGCTTTTGTATGGCTCCCAATTAGAGTTCTCTACTTGCCGGTTGCTTGAAGAGAAAGAGAAGGCGCAGCCGTGGATACTACTCTTGCCACCTTTGCATAAATGAATCAGTCTGCATCTGTTCGGCTCTTTGCTGTGTTCCAGGAGTTGGATGAGCTACCGGCACAATGAAAACTAATAGCAGAATCATTTCCCCTTCCTAGCAAGCCAGAAGCTGCCTTACCGAACTGCAGCTGGCGCACCGGACTCACAGCACCTGCTATGGTTGCGTCTAGCTAGAAGCGAAGCAACGGTGTCAGTCAGGCAGCGGGCGGGCTCTAGATTCCCGGATACAGCCACCGGCACCAGCGCTACAGGGTGCTGGGGCGCAATTGCGTCTGGCTACTCCGACACACACCGCAGTTTTCAATAGCGGCTTTAGATATTCAGTACCGGCCCGGCAAAGAAAAGCCACCAATCTAGCCAGCAAAGCAATAATGGTGAAGCATTTGCTACTGCCGCGGAGGACCAGGTACGGCATCCAGAGCTCCTCGTACTGGTACGGGATTAGTTCTGGTAGGCGAGCTCTCAAGGATATCTTCCATGCTCCGGTAGAATTGGGGTTTGGTGCAAGTCCTGCCCTCTCCCGGCTCTCTCCCTATCCTACACGCTAGCTAGCTAGCTAGTATTGACAGATGATACTCCCTCTCCACAACTTCTGGTACCATATCTCCACGGTACTCAAGTTCTGGTAGATCAGCTACCAGAACTTCTGCGTGTGCTAGAATTTGGTTCCTTGGAGATGGGGCAATTTGGATAATGCCGCCCTTGTTTGTACATAGTATTCAATCCCATTCCGACTGAGTCAGTCACTCCTTGCCAACTGAACTTCTTCGGGCCTGCGGTATTCCGGCATGCATCCTGCCAGATGATTGGTTTGGATGCATGCAGCAGATACAAGAGCTGGCAGTTCGCGTTCGTGCAGCGTTGGCGAGAAAGCATTCGATGGAGCATCTCATTGGTTCTCACATTTTGAAACACTCCACACATCAGCACACATCAGTTCTGAGCACACAAATTTTCATCTCCGTCTTTCTTTACAATAGCAAACCATCACAATGATCCCTCTTCGTCGCACCATCACCGAAGCCGTCCGCACCATCTCTCGCGAGGTACAACAGACAGCAACATCGAAAGCCAGGGTAACATCCAGCTCTGTTTCCCAGTTGGTGGCGGGAAAGACCGCATCTCAACAACAGCCAAACATCATCTCCGTTGGCTTTCCAAGAAAGTTGATTCAGTACTCATAAGCACATCAACAACATTGGGTATAAGGAGCCACGGGTACGAATATTTTGACAGACAGACTACAAGAACCGCACATCATGTTGCTACCACTGATGTTGCCAGCCGACATTTCAAGAAATCACCGGCGACCGATACCGTACAAGCAACGCTCATTGAATTTTGACCTTTCTGCTTTTTGATTTTGAAGGAACAGCAGGAGATCTACACTAGACACAGCTATACATTTTTAGTACATAAAAGAGTAGAGATTTATCAATTACCATCAAACTGTCATTGACTAGCCATCTCTGTTGTGGTTTTTTAGGTTGGGGGAGGGCTGCTTTTGGTGCACCCGCCCAAGCCCATACCGGTATCCCATCTCAACCAGAGACCACTTATCGTCCCTCCCTTAGACCTGGGTAGCACCTGGTAGCCAGCGATGCATTTCCAAAAGGGAGAATGCAACGGATATCCGGATGGATCCAATCCATCACCATCATCATCATCATCATTGGCCACTGGAAGTGCAGCTCGTACTGGAGAAACGGCATTTTCATGCGTGGTGGTGGGTTGGTTTCCATCGGAAGGAGGGTCAGAGCAGCAGAGCTGGTCAAGTCAAGTCCCCATTCTCGGGAAAGAAAGTTGATGATGTCATGATGATGTCATGAACAAACTAGAGACTTGAAAGATAATTTCCAGCTTTTTTCTAAATGTTGAGGGCCTTCAACGAGACTGATTCCAGAGCAAATTTATTAGTCAGTCAACAAACAACGTCAAAGGATACCGTACAAAACAGAGATCAAGCAAGATGGTCCCTTCCATTCGCTCTCCCTCTAGCAGCAGCAGATACTACCATGCCTCCCACAGCCGTGCAAAGGATTGGAATGAATGTTGTGCCATGGTGATGGGCTTTGAAGATTGGACGTTGGTGGATGTGGTCCATAGTGATACAGATACCCCTTTGAGCCCTACCAATCTCCAAGTCACCAATTTGCTTCCCAGTGACCTGTTCGAGGAAGACAAGGGCAATGCTACTACTACTGATAGCAGCCAGAACCATGCATCCGATCCTTGGACCAAGAATGCCTTGAACATTGAGGCCGACCTGTACCGCATGGCGGCTTGGATCCAGTCGAAAAAGCACGAATTCATCGGTTTCGACATGGACGCCAACGAGGCATCCATTATCCAATCGACCGTGACATCCTTTGCCGCTACCACGGCCAATGAAATCGATTCCTTGCGCAAAATGGCTTCTAGCAGCAGTAGCCACAATCAAGTGCATCATCGGACCGGAATTGTTCAAATATTGTTGGCGCGACTCAAAGAAGACATTGTCGAACCCTTTGGCGTCTTGCAAAAACATCGGTCTCGCAAGGCGGTCGATTTGTGGCAGAATCCACTCCAGTGCAAACTACTCGTCAAACAGAAAAAGCAGTCCCAAACAAAATCGGACGATTCCATCGATGCAGCCTTGGGATTGGACGATGATGACCCATCTGACCAAGGAGAGAATACCGAACAACAATTTCTGCCTCGTCGCGATGCCCATCCCTTGCGCAATAAATTCATGGATACCTATGCGCGCGATGAAACAATTGCACCAAAGTTGTTGAATTTACGACCCAAATCCTTAATTCGAGATCCCTTATCGGTATTGTCCACGGAGACCGAAACCAAATTCAATTCCAATCTCAAAGAAGAACAACAGCAACAACAATCCACACCGACGACTCTCACTTCTACTAATTCGAATAGTGTTGTGATTCCCGGCATGCCGGATTATCAATACGAAGAAATGACCCAAGCCGCTCAAGAACAAATGCATCAAGAAGCATTGTTGCTACAAGCCATGGTCCACAGTGATTTGGACAGTGTCCAAAAGGTAGAACAGCAAATGGTCATGATTACCAAATTGTTGACGCAATTCTCGGAACTCGTCACGGAACAATCCGAAGAAGTCTGGCAGATTCATGATACCGCCAAGGACACCAAAGAGAATATGCAACAGGGACAGGAACAACTAGCGGATGCCGCCGCCGCCACGCATCAAAGTCAACATTACATGGCCAAGGGAATATTTGCCATGGGGTGTCTCTTGTTGATGTTTCATTGGTTGAGACCGTAGGTAGTGTAGTTATCGATAGTAGGTTAGATTTCATCCATGGTGTTGCCATGGTCGTGTTCGAGATGCTTGTTGGTCGGTTAATGGTGTACAATAGCTCCCTCGTAGAGCTCCCTCGTAGCCACTATTGAAAACAGCACAAGACCCATGTAGACTATAGTGGGAACACAAGATAGATGTCATCTATGTATCCAAAAAAAAGTTAAGACTTCTATTAACTGCAGTATCTATGGCGCAATACCCGAAGTAGACATTGGCAATCCATCCTTGTCTCCAAACTGCACTTTCAGTGCCACTTGAATCAATCCAAACGTCAACCCCAATATATTTGGAAGGTACACATTGACATCGTTCAATTTGAACCAACCAAAAATCACCCACATGAAACAATTCACACAGGTCAGCACTGTAAAGGGCAAAGGAATGGATTTGGCCGATTTTGTTTGCAAGACAACCCGAATCACACTCAAGGGACTGGCAAACATGAGGATACAAAAGAGCACTGCTACATTCCCAATCAAATTGGCAGTGTTTGCAAAGGGTTGAAAAATTGCCATGAGAGACGTGATTCCAATGACGGCTGCGACAGCCTGGGCATGTTGCTGGACGGTTCCCGGCAGAGTGGGAGTGGAAGCCTGTAGAATGGAGGTTTGTTTGGCTTTGGGGATATGGCTTGTGAATTGTAGACAATAATAGGCGGCCAAAACACAGCCAACCCCATTGCAAGACCACAAGGCATATTCCTTTTTCAAGACACCATAAATTGTCCTGTATTTTAGTTTTGAAATTTATTTTGGCAGGATGATTCGATTCGTCTGAGTTCCATTCATACAGTGATCAAAAAAAGAAAAAGAACAAGAAAGAAGAAGCACTCACCACATGAAGGCATTGGACACCATGGCTGAATAGGGTAGCAATGGTAGGCTACCCACAGTTCCAGTCATCGTGACATCACGAATAGTTGGAATTGGTGCAAGGTAGCAACCGATCGATGCAATCGGTGCACCTGGGATTCACGGTGAACATAAGCAAATAATGAATGAGACCAGGTGATGGATCGAGCAGCAAGCATTACGACCACAGCAGCTCACCTTGACCGCAAAAATTGATAAATGAGGTAAGCATTGCTGAACCTTCCACTGCAGACATTGCTTGGATACAGAGAGTATTGCTTGCTGAAACCACAACGAAGAGCAGCAACAAGGGACAAGCAAGGGATTGTTGAGAACACCTCGCTGGTCTTCCCCAGCTCGTTTTGGTATCTTCTTCGGTTTGGCAAGATAAACATATCGCCCTGCTCTCTCAGGCAGGCGCAAGCAAAAGGGCACCGCTCTAATTACATTCTAGAGGGTTAGGGTCATTCTGGTACCACTATAGATTTTACAAAGAGAGCGACAGCCCTACAGGTAGCTGGCTAGCTATGCATACAGACCTAGCAATTTTACTTTAAAGTTTTTTCCCAACTTCCCACTTTAAAGTCACTTGGGATTTCCATGGATACATTTAAACTTTAAGGTATCCGGTTTTCTATTTCCGCATGTACATTAATACTTTAAGGCATTCCTATAAATCTTTAANNNNCATTGTTTGCTGGCTTTGAAAAGCAGAAACAGTGGACGAATTGGATACAGAAGATGAAGAGGAAATTGGCAACAATTAGGTAGATAGCAGCTTTTAGGCTTTAGGCAAGCATGTCATTACATCTACATTGACTTTCTTGTGCACTTCCCACTTTACAGATTCTGGTAAAAGTACTTAGTTATAAACCTACTCTTTATAGCCATGGTCTCCGTTTGTAAAGTATAGCTGCTGGGTCTGTAGTAGTATTTTAAAATTAGGAATTACGAAGTCCCCGGAGGGATTAAAGTTCTATAATTAGATTTGAAAACGGTAGTAGCTACTGTAGCCTGCGATCCTACTATGTACAAAGAAGGGAGCCGGTATGTACTGTAGTAGATTATCTACAGAAGCCTGCAGGGGGGCAGGTTTATTAGGCAAGGAAGAGGAGGAATTCAGGACTAGTATTTGGTGGGATCAGGGGCTACAATTGAGGACCAACACAGGGGCCAAAGGGCTTGACTTTGCAGGATCCACCGAGGCATAATTAATGTGCCACTTGAGTCGACCCAAAAGCCAACCCCACTGCATTCAGCAGGTACTCGCAGGCATCAACTTGAACCAACCAACAATGGTCCACAGGAAGCAATTCACACGAGCGAGGACAGTGAAGGGCAAGGGGGGCGTTTTGGCGGATTTGGTCTGCAAAACCAATCTAATCACGCCCAAGGGACCTGCAAACATGAGGATGCAGAATACAACAGCTCCATTGCCAATCAAATAGGCTGCATTGTCAAATGGTTTTAAAATGGCCATCAGGGTGAGTCCGCCACTGTGGCAACACCTTGCAGATGGTGCCAAATGCTTTCTGGCAGGGTGGGAGTGGTTGCATTCAGGATGGAGGTTTCTCAAGTTTTGGGGATACGGAGTGTGAGTTTTGTACCATAGTAGGCTGCCAGTACACAGACAACACCATTGCAAGACCATGTTTCATACCGTATTCTCTTTCAAAACCGTGACACCGTAGCATGAAAGGACTGGAAGTATCAAATAAATTAAATGCGTTCCGCAACTCATTCTGAAGGCTCATTTTTCTGCAACGTGTCAAAGGCAAGGACATGCAGCACCAAATGCAAAGAAGCCAAAGAACTAAAAGTTTTTTGTCTTCATTGTTTGAAAGAATGGAAATTGATGGCACGATCTTTTCTCCATGAGGATGTTCCGCACCAAACATTTGGTCGGCTATGGCTCTCCTTGTTGGTTCCCATCCTGCAAATGCGTTTGCCCTGCCGATCCTATCATACCCCACCACAAGATCGTTGCCTTTGACGCTTTATGCCACCAAACAACACCAACACCACGAGTGGCCTTCCATAGTCAACGTGCATCGAGTGCTGGGCGACGAAAGGTTTTGCAGAAGAGACTTTACTAACATCATTGTATCCGAGAAGCTGGATGGAGCCAATTTGGGCATTGAAATGGATGGAAAGGATGGAAATCTTGTGGCCTTGCATGGTCGAAACAGCGTTCTTTGGTACGATCACTACAAAGGCGTGACAGATCCATTCCAGTTGACCTATGGATCTGTCAAGGGTCGCTTTGAGTCTCTTCGTGAGGTTGTTGAACCCTTGAAACTGACCGTCCAAGGTTTGCAGGCCAATGACGACTTTGCAACGGAGGAAGCAACTAGTTTTGTCTTTTATGGAGAATGGTGCAATCCGACAACATCAACGGTGAAGCAGCAGCACCAGGAACCATCCTGGCATCCCTTTGGTGTAGCCGTGATCCGGAACGATGGATCTAAGTCCATTTATGCCATGACGACCGCGCTCCATGCAATCTTGACATCCAATGGACTGCATCCACCCCGAATACTCGCTCAGACCAAGGATATACCTCGAGCAATCGAAGTCGTCTTTCATAGAATGCTGAATCCACCTGAAATGGAACGCTTCGAAGGGGTCGTTCTCACTGTGGAAAGCAACCAACGTGGAGGGAACAAGAATCCCAGAGCTCAACTGTTTGGATTGGGATGCAAGTGGAAGACGGCTGCATTCGAAGAACAGCCCCAATTCCTCTTGGACAATGTCTCGTTCATTCAAGATCTGGCACCCACAGTGGACTTGCTGAAACAGGTCTATGAACAACGACAAGAGCGTCAGAACGGCAAACGAAAGCGCAAGAAAACGCTCACGAAAGAACAGATGGAACAAGAATCCGAGCTTACTCGACAGGTGTTGTTAGCCTTCCATTCTGTCATGAGCAAGTCGGCACTTTCAGCCGAAGACGTACGAAACATGCAAGATAGGGATGCACGTACCGTAGAACTGCAACGTATCAATCATCAGGTTGTACTGGACTTGGAGGACCAGTACAAGCAAGTCGGTGTCATGGAACTTCCTGAAGAGGTGAGAAAGGCCGCTGGAACTCTTGTGAGTAAGTACATTATGAAGCCACCCACTGCTTGATAATTGATGCATTCCGTACAATTGGACCAGGCCTGCATCATTAAAAAAGCCGTACTAAGAGAACTGGACCCGATAAGCTGTAGAGATCCTTTTGTTTTGCAGGCGAGTACCTGCTAGGTACCGTACAGTAGTCTTTCATATGTAACTTTCCTTAGATTTAAAAGCCAATTTACATTATGTCATGTTTGCTTGCTTGCTTGCTTTATACTGTTTGCGCTTGCCTCTCTAATACATTCCATCATTTCCGAGTCTCCATGGAGGCCAATAGACAAAGACGGCACGTCCAATCACATTTTCCTTTGGAAGAAATCCCCAAATGTGTCCATCCAAACTTTGGTTTCGGTTGTCACCTAATACCAAGACACTGTCCGGTGGTACCGTCACTGGACCGAACTGGTACCTTGCATCCTCAGCTGTGAACGGTTCCTCTGCTTGTTCACCGTTAACAAACAGTTTTCCGTTCTTGACCTCGACTCGGTCACCCTGTTGTGAATGACAAGCAAATTGCAAGTTGCGAATTCAGAACACAGATAGATAGATGATGGATGGCAGATCACATCATCCATGGGATGATGTTTACCCTCCTCCAACAACAAAAATGACTAGGATCATATCATGTTCCTCTACTCACCTCTACAGCTACAATTCGCTTTATCAGCGCTTCTTTGCCTCTACGAGAGTCGCCAATGAGATCTCGAAAGGCTTGGGGTGGATTGAAAACCACCACCTCATTTCGGTAGAATGGTTTCAGCCGTTTGGTAACTTTCTCCACTGCTAATTGGTCACCAACCTCAAAGGTGGGGTACATGGAAAGACTGGGGATATAGCGTGGTTCGATGATGGTGAACCGTAAGAGTAGCGCAATGGCAAGGCTGACAAAGTAGGTCTGTATGTCATCCCTGCCTTCTTCGGATCGAATCCAGTTTTGGATGGAAGCCAAAAAGCCTTCCTCTTTTGGTTGCTTTGATGACTCGTTGTCATCCCAAGAAGTGTTCATATCCTCCAATGAGTTGCCATTGTCGTCTCCATCGTTGTTTCCGTCTTTGACAGCTCTATATCGGCCAGCTCTGCTCCTGACGGCAGAACCATGTCTCCGTATTGGAGTGGAAGGATGAGTGAACCCCAGTACCCCGTGGTTTGGCAGTAGAAAGAGAGCAGCTAGCAGGAGCTGCCCAATAGCCAATACAGATGCCACTTGTGATTGTCTCATGGTGCTCTACTGTGTGTTATCCTACTGTAGAACGGTCTTGACGGGATAATCAGTTAGTTGCATGGAGGGTGTCAAGGGTATCTTCGGTAGTGTACGGTACACTCTCGCTGATGGCCGGAATGATGGTCTATCAACTCAAGCAAAGGCCACACCAAACATCCATTGATCGAACAGATCGCCAGTTGCATCTGCCGACTGTCCAGATTGAGTTGATGTTGGATGCCATGAAGCTCTTTCATTCATTCACAACTTGGCGTTGTCAAGCTTGAAGACAACGGTACGAAAGATTGAGACGCCGATGACGCAAGTACGTGGCCATGAAAACTTGGACACGTGGAAACGGGCAAGTGTGCTTTCCAAACCCAAAGCCAGCAAATCTGCGAATATATTTCGGCCATTCCAACGCCCAGGCAGAGAGCAAGGAAAGTTTTCCTGCAAAGTCTGATAAAGTCTCCCAGGGTTTTCGCGACTCCATCATTGGGAGATCCCTAAATGATTAATTTAGCTCTAAGTACACAAACGCTCTGTCAAACCATCAGTTGGTATGGAGTCACATCGGTTGACACTGGGAACCGAATCCACCTCCCAGGGCGATCCTCGCAGCTCCCTAAAGTATCTCCTAAGTACCGAAATCCCTACTAAGTAACCTTCCGACACTCCGCGTTCACACCGGGTGTGTCTTTCCATGCTCACGGTGTTAGTCATGGTGTGTGTTCCAGTTTTGGTCGTTCCCACACCACACGCAAGAATGCTACATAGGATAACCGTTCCTCAACCGCTCTTAAGTAAGACTAGCTAGACGCCAACCTAGATAAGTAAGATCATTGCTTGGACCAATATTGCTACTCTCTTCATAACAAGCCAGCACTGCTTTCAAATCAGCCCTCTAAAACGTTGTGCTACCATCACCACACTCACAATTATGAAGATGTTGTCTCATGATTCTTTCTTGTCCTCCACCACCTTTTATGGTGACGCCCGGGATGAACTACTAGCAAAGTCTGCTGGCAAGCAACACTATGCTTTTCGGCATCATAGTCATCTAACATTTTCCCAGGGGGCCCAGGGGGCGAACCGGTGGGGAGAGTTTTTGCTCCTACTGGGCAGTGAGCAAGATGTGACTGGCTCAGCCTTCCGAGTGTAGTTTGGTAATTGTCCGAGCTTGTCTTGGAGAAAATTCACAACAGCACCGCATGCATTCAGGTACTTGGTTGAAGCCAAGATCAATGGCATGTTCTCCCAAGAATTCTGGATCAAAAAGAACTCCTTGCCATCATCTGCCTTGCGATAACTTTTAGGAGCGAGAGCTCTGGATCCCGTCAGAGATAGCTCCAACAGCTATGCTGGCCTACAGCTCCAGCATGCACAGTTAGCTTATCTCCAGCAAAGCAGCAAGAAAGGATCGTCCTTTCTACCATAGTTAAGAAAATAGTACGAAAGATTGAGACCGATCCTGATTAGCTTGTAGCCCCTTTGATACCGCAGCAGTTGATACCTATCCTGTTGAGGCCGGGCAGAAGCAGTAGGAGGTAGCAGATAGTACTGTTCCCAGACTGCCACTGCACGATTGAATAACGAAGGCCCCCAGCTCCTGAGGTGAGCTGGCCCAAAAGGGCCCAGCAGAGAGCTCTGCTGGCCCTCCTGTCTGACTGACAGGGCCAAGTCCTTGGTTTGGTGCCTACTGGAGGTGTTGGAATACTCCTGAGGCACGACAAGGCTCCCTGAACTGCCTGACTACCGCTGTACCTGAGGAAGGGTTTCAGCGAGATCCAGTCCACTACTTGGGTATTGGAACTGAACCTTCAAGAAACTTATTGGATTAACAGTCAGCATAGATTTGCAGGCAGTTCTCTTAAAAGGGAAGAAGAGACCTCCTTGACGAGAAAAGGATCTCTTCGAATTACACTACCATATATTGGTCTTCAGTTGATTTCATTGGAATTTGGTGCTGATTTCAAGCCCACTTTTGAAGTCCTAAGTCAACAACCTTCTGATCGATTTTGATAGTTCCAGCCACCACCACAGTGACAGGAACCTTCTTGTTGACCGTCTACCAATACAACTACAAGGCCAACACCATCACCATTGCCTTGAAAAGGACCTAGATATCAACCAACTAGCTACCGGTAGCTACAACACGAAGAAGAAGTTCGCAAAATCAGTCAATTCACTGGAAAGAAGAAGCTACAACCGGCAGGTACTGTGGAGATCCGAGAGAACTCGAGACTTAACGTTTTCGCACCTATCTTGGCAATCAACGAAAGCTTTTACGAGACGAGGAATTGCTGGTGACCGGCATATCTCTCGTGAATCCCCTTAGCGATTCCACGGAACGGTCAGATTTATTACGACTTTGGAGGCCTATCTCTTCAAATCGTCCGTGCAGTTTTCGAGTGTCACGAGTTTCCGTCCTGTACAGTTTCAACGATTTCACGGAACGTTGTGGAAGCTCCCACGGAACGTTCAAGAAGCTCTCACGGAAGTCGCTCAGCCAATCAAAACATCCGTGCAGTTTGTGTACTTATACGACGTGCACTGAGTCAGCGAGCTAACGTCACTCGGAACTGTTTTGAGTTCCCATTCGATCCTGGATCTCGAAGCCTTATACGTGCAACGTTCCCCGATCCGAAAGCAGGCTCAGCTTCGGTAAATCCTTCGGCTCACAATTTCAACCGATTTACACCGTCGAGTCATTGAAATCGTACCCGGAATCGCGATCTTGGCTCTGTACGAAGAATCCATCTGCGAACTGAGCAACTCGGAGAGCTCTGAGCCAACCAAGAGGCCAATTCGCTTGGCTGAAAGTGATACCATTGCAACCGGCACCCTTCATTTAGTCAGTGGGTATATCACCTTGAATTTTGGGAGCTTTTGTGGGGAGATTCATTGGTGCCAAGTTGACTGGCTCCAGAGTGGCAAAACCTCCACAAACCAAGCCATTTCCCAGCACCACGGCAACACAGGAAGCAGGCTCCAGACCCTCTACACTGGCTACCTTATTCAACTACACCTAGATTGAATTTTCCAGGCCCATAGCAAGGTTCCCGGAGGTCATCCTTGTGGTTTCCCAGCTACAGTTGAGTCAAGCTTTATTGCACTGCAACAAGAGCTGAGATCGAGTGTTCCCACCAAGTACAGCCTACACCTCTTCCTTGGCAGAAAGAAAGCAACCATGTCACTCTACATACCCACAGTGACTCCTCCACCATCACGGAAGGCCTCGAAGGCTAGAGAACCAAGGAAACAGGCTAGCCCAAGAACAACTAGCCACATTTCCCCTACAACCCGGGAGGATACGGTTCAGGCCATCATGAAGAGTCTGGATGAGCAGCACACCTCCATCCAAGCCCTTGGCACTACCCTTGATAGTCTCATTGAAGAGCGACAGTGGTGC